TTGAATCATTCACATGTATTTCTTGTTTTCTTTTCCCCATTATTTCTTACATTTAATATCCTGTCTATCTGCATCTTCTGAGAGTCTAACATACTGCCTTAATGATGCATCCTAGTTTCTTGTTGTGTTCTCAGACTACTTTTCTCAGAAGTTTGTTCTAAAGGCTTGTTCTCTGCTTGCGCCTCTTTGCTTGGCATGAGACCCCCTGAATGTGGTCTGAATGCTCCTATAGCTCATTGATTGAATTTTCAGATATTACTTCTGTCCTTATGCTAAAACACCAGAAAATTGAATGCTCCTCCCTTAAGAAATTTCTCACACATGGACTATACTCCTAAAAAAGCAATAGAATTTTTCTTTGGGGTCAGAAGGATAAAGGAGAAGAACAAATTTTTGCTTCTAAAAAGTCTGGGAAAAGTGAAGATAGCCTCTATATATTATCATAATGTCGTTGTCAATGACAGTATGTAATTGTACTTAATGCTGTAGATGTTTGAACTTGCATAAATGAATGTAGAACATTTACTGATTTTTAGAAAGAACTTGGGAAGATTAGAATATACTAAAATTTTCCTGTTTATTGTAGGACAATATATTTCACATAAGCTCCTTATTTATATATTTTATTTTATTTTTTCCACAAAATTTCTTAGCATGTTTTTGCCACCTGTGGACTGATGATACCTCCTATTATGACTTTGGAAGCCATTTTCAGCATCATGACATTTTTGAGTGGTCATCAGGATCTAGTCTATCTTTCTTAACTATTGATGTCATCTGAGAGTGGAATAAAATTATTACTGTAACTATATACCAGAACTTTAAGGGAAGAGGTAACATTAGAAAGAAACGGTCCCTATATGCTTATCCTGGAGAACAAAAGTTTTACGGTGTAGGGCATGCTTCTCTCCCAGTGGAACTGAGAAAAATGTTTCAAAATAATCTTTAATTAAAATTTATGATAAATAAAGCAAGGCTTATAGGGAAAAGTATTGTCTTTCTGTAGGCCGATTAATGTAACAAACTTCCCAAGCTTTTGGTACTACCAAGACCATTCTGATCTGAAGCAGGGACAGGAAACTTCAAGCACGCTACTGCTATTACGCTGATGTCTCATCTCTGTTTGCAGTGATCCTTCTAGAAAGTGCAAACCTGTGTGACAGTTGCAGCTTGCCTCCTTCTGCCCACCCCCAAAAGCCAGCCAAACTATCACGTTTCCTTTTCAACTAAGCTTCAATTAATTCTGACCCTACAGCCCGCATCCATAGAATAATCACAGAAAGAGAAACGCTAATATGTGTCTTGGGAGGCTGGTGCTCCGGTCCTGTCTGGTTTAATGATACAGAACATTTGGAGTGATGTAACTGAATACAAACTCACCATGCTTATGCCCAGCATCCCAAGTATTTTTGTTTATGATGACTGTTTTTATGCTATTTGAAGTGATGCATTTTAAGAAATGAGAGTACCCGTGCAGGAGCAAAAATGTAAAAATTGAGTATTTTAAAAATGTAAATTGTAAAAATGAGTATAGCGATAAAAAGTATTTGTTTGGATTTATCTACTCATTGAGGGATTTCAGATAATAATCCACCATCTAATATGTGTTTATCCTGTGCCAAGGTTTTAACAGGTTGTGAACAGATTACTCTCCTTGACTGACTTACCACTTTGTGGTGGTATTCATTCTGTTTATGTTACGTCTGGTTATCTTTTCCATTTCCAGAATCTATGGAGTGTTTGATGTATTTGTATATAAACAGTTTTGATTCCTGAAAATATGTTCTGAATTAGATGCCATTACTGTACAACAATACACTAACAACATTCTGAGATCATTTAAAGTCCTTTGTTTAATAGCACAGTGAATGTTATTAGACTGTTACGCTAAGTACATTAACATTAAAAACCAGCTTGTAAAAATGAAGAGGTTTTGAATTCTAGAATTATGGAGGATATATAAAATTGACGCATCTGTTTCTGTCTAATTTTTAGTGAAATGTTTTTTGTATTGATTCTTGACAGAAATGTGTCCCATCAAATCAGGCATTTGGGTTTGTTTTAGCAATTGCACCTCTGAATTAAAAAACCCTGTTCTTTTTGTTTTCCTTTCAGTTACGGTACTTAGGAGGCACAAGTTGCTTCTTGCAGTTACAATGACTGGAAACACTTCATTTCCTCTAAAATAATAATAGTATTTTCACAGAACTGCGTGTCTTCATAATAGAAACAAAGAATTATCTGGAAACTTTTCTAAGATAATCAAATCAACAGAGTACATTTTTCTTCCACTTCCCTCTGTTCCCTGCAATTACTTGTATTGGAATTTGGTCTGTACAGGGAACTTTTCCTTTTCTGCTGGAGTAGCCAAAGCTGAATTGAGCTTCTTGGTGTAAATATCATACATAAAGCTGTACCATGTGAAGGCATATCTAGTATAAATAGAGATGTAGGGTATACAGTGTATTGTATAATTTCAGAGTGCAAAGGAGCCTGCATGGGAGCTGTTGCTTATATCATGTTTAGGACTTAGGAAAAATAGAAGGTAATGAGACCCAGAAAGATTCTGTGCTTATATTCTCTTACTCCCCTTATTCCTCTTTGTCTGTGACAGTTATGCTTCCTTGTATCCTGTCTTAAAGCTATACTAATTGAGTGGCAAAACTGTTGGCTTTTTGATGTTGAAATAATTCCAGGTATGCTCTCTACAAGAAGAGTGCTCCAAAACTCAGAGGGATAGAAATCTTCCATTGGGAAAGCTTGTCTGTTACAAAGAATTATGCATTATTCGTATATATTTCTTTTTCCTTGAAGTACTACAAATGTTTGGTCTGCTAGTAATATTTTTAAGATAATTTTGAACTGTTTCATTATATAGTTTCAAATATGATTTGTTACTTTCTTTTTTCCAGTTGTTTCAAGATTGGCAAATGAGACAAATATTGCCATTCAAAAGAAAATAATTAAACGTTATCTCTGCTTGAAAAAAACAGGCCTATATTTTGCATCTGTATCTATACATAAAGTTTCTGCAGTCAATAGAAAACAATGCAAGTTAACACATAGCATTTGATAATTTGAATTTTCTTGATGTATCAAATACTTGTTCGTTGCTATAAGTGCTGAACCATGAATAATTTACTGGCTTTCTCTTTATAATATGCAGTGTCTGCTAACTTTGAAGTTCAGTAGTCAACTTTATAGTTTGCTGGAACTGACTAATGATTCACCAGAGATTTTTGAGAGATATTTTGTCATCAATTTAAAGCTTGGAGAGGTTTGCTGTTGCAGCCATCTGGTAATTCTTGGTTCTCTGGAGGAAAGAGAAGTCTTTTGATAAAATAGATCAAAGCATTCTGCTCTTTCAGTGACTGATACCTATAAGTAACTTAGAAGTTTCTCAAAATGATTTCACAATGCCTGTCTCATTTGCCAAGCTTTTGCGTTCTAGTTACAATATATTCGTCATGAATTAGGTTTTCATTGTATTTAAATAATTATCTAAATACTTCTGTTCATGGATAACTTATAGATCTAAGTGTTTTTTAATCCCAGAGTTTTCTAGCTTACTAAATAAGCTGTCATGATTAATAAAATCAATGCTAAATCTTGTCCTTTGTACTAACTGTACAGGTAAGAGTACTCTCAAAAATTGTACTGCTGCTATACCATAAGCCTAATATATAGATGTACCTCTTAGACTGTAGATAACGTACAACTATAGTGTAAAAATATATATCATACTATTTCTAGAACTCATTCTGTTAACAATTGGAATTCTGGTGTGGGATTTGCAGATGTTTGGCAGTGAAGAGCAAATAATGGAGAGAGAGAGTTAGGGCAGGAAGTGTGCACTGCATGTCCACTTGAAATGAGACCAATCTAACACTGGATTGCACATACACATTTGATATTTATCTGGAATCAGGATGTTGTTTCTATTCCATCAGACGTTCCGGATGTGCAGTTGCCATGACCGCACATGTCCAGTCTTCTCAAAGAGTGAGTTTATTGCATCACAAGCGCAGCACGAGCAGCCAAAACAGAATGATGAAATTGGCTTTTACCTTACAAGTTGTTTAGTTAAAGTATGTCTGAGTGAGATTTTGTGCTGTGTTACATTAGGAGAAAGCATTAGCTTGCAATACACCATACCTCTGCACATCAAAAGAGGCAGCATTCTTTTGCTAGAGGTGAGTTATTGCACAGAAGAACTAAGGAGTTGTGTTTGTGCCATTCACTCCTTATATTAGGAGGTCATCAATGACTGATGTACTGATGAAAGATAATAATTAAACCACATATGTCTCACTGTCCTCAATTAAAGGCTATCAAGGAATTTCAGAAATAGTCAATGTGTCTTCAGATGTAGCCTGTATCATCCTAATAACCATATGTAGTTTTTGTTAATAGGTTAGCCTTATTATCATTTAAGCATTGAAAGTATAGTACTGGCTAAATGACAGATGTCAGTGAATATTAGGTAATTAGCACACGTTCTTCAAACTTGCTGTTCTTTACATTAGGTAGTTTGGAGAGAGGAAAAGACTTCTAAAGAGGCTGAGTTTTTAAGGACTTAATAAATTTAAAATGCAAGCTAGAGATTTAATAGTACTACATTCTCAGAAAGTAGACAAACTAGAGTTTGGTGGAGGAATTGCTAATTTTTTACACGTGAAAATTTGCTTGAACTCAGATTTAAGTGACATATAGATAGCAGAAGAAAACTCCATGTACTTGTGCTTGTTGTTATTGTTTAAACTTTTCAGTGAGCTACCCAAGAGAGCTTTGGTGCTCTTGTTTCTCATTAAGCCCACAAAAAATGGTAAATTTGTAATTCGTACTTCATAATTTTCCACAGTTATATGTTATGCCTGCTGTATCTCTGAATCAGATGCATATGCTTACCTGATTGTTTACCTCCTTGTCTGCTTGACATATGCTTCCTGGCAGCTACAGTTGAATGGTTTTTTTCTTCCTTTTTTTTTTTTTTTTTTCAGTGTGGGAACTTTGCTGTTTTGGTGGATGTTCATATTTTGCCTGAAGGCTCCAGTAAAGACACCAGCTGGTTTTCAGATCATGAGAAAGAGGTACAACAAATATCAGTTCTACTTCAAAAGCATGTGGCTGCAGGGAAAAATTTGGATTGCCCTGAACTGTTCAGAATTTTTCAGTGTGATGAGAATATCATTAGTTATACCTAACCGTCAATGGTTGCTTTGGGACCCCTAAGTCAACCATATGTGCTTTTTGGGTCACTAATGACCACTTTCAATTTGTCTTTAAATTTTTAAACTGTGTGTGTTTGCATACGTGCATGTGTGTGAGCTGGTTTGATTCATCTGCCTTAAGTTTTAATTTTAAAAACGTATCTCTCATGAATGTTTGTAAATTATCCTGTGTGATGGAAGCCAGATTGTGACAAGTATCATTTTTGCAGAGCTTGTTGCTGAAGTATCTTTCTATTAATTGTTTTTTCTTATTCTGGGAAGTGTGACTTATGATATATTTAGAGAGTGCAAGAAAACATAAGTATGCACGATAAACTAAGTAGAACCATTTAAAAAGAAACTCCCAGTCTTTATTCTTCAGCGTATCATTTGTATATCCTGACAAGAGATGAAATTTTGGAAAATCAGTGCATCAGGGACCAGCAAAATTATGAATGTAACTTCCATCAGATCCTGGGTGATTTCTGCTACAGTCTTGTGATGAGTTACTGGTGGGAGTTTTCCCCTATTTCAGTCTGTGTGGGAACTTGAGAAGTTCCCTATTGAAAACGAATGCAGGACGTGTTTCAAATGCCTGTGGACTTTCCCGCAAGTCTCTGTTACGGTAATTTTCAGCAGATAGCTTTCCTAATAATGGCATAATTAACTTGTCACTGCAGAGCATCCCCTATGTCTCAAAGTAATACATTTAAATAAAATTAAAAGAAACAATAAATTAATACCCCGAGGGAGTGAAAGCAGAATATTTAACAGCCTGTGGTTCATCCGATTTGTGCTTTATTAAGCAGAGAAAGAAGAAAATAGGGGAAATCTTTTAGACTTCTTTTTTCTGACTAAATGAATACTCATTACCACTACTATTTATAACCAGTTTTACTATCTCAGTTATCTGACTTTTAAGGGTTTTCAAAATGTATTTTGTAAGACTGCCAAAACAAAAGATATGAATTTCAGGAAATTAGATCATGATTGATTTAATAAAGAGGCATGACAGGGCAGCATTCATTACATTTCTGTGACCGCACATTTTGAGTGAAGTACAAAGGTTGCATATTTTCAACAACTGAGAAGTGTGATTCCAATAGCTTTTACAATTTGCTTCCTGAAAGTCCTATGCAGAATCTTTGTTAAAGCGGTAAGAGAAAGATCAGTGAGGTATTATAAGGTATTATGCCTACATTTGGAGGGTTTGTTTGAGAGCCTTTATATATTCATCACAAGCAGTTTTCTACATTGTTGTTGTTTCCAAATTCTGGAAAATACTAGTGGTGGTACAGCCCTCTTTGCTTGTCTGTGAGAAAAGCAGATACCTCCTACACCCCTTGTAACACAAACGTGGTTTCTGCTGATCCCCTGTTTACCCTGGATGAAAGTCAGTGAGTGCTGTTTGTAGCACGTGGAGCCTGGAAGGATGTGAGGTGGGTGCCTGGGCCCAGACACTGCAGTGGAAAAGGGATGCCATGTAATGGAGCTGCTTGTCAGTGCCTCTGCTGACGGTGCCATCCCAGTGCTGGGAGCTAAATGAGTACCCATTTGCTTGATGCTGGTGTAAGAAAATACAGTGCATATTGTCCAGCTGGGCATTGCAAAGGCCCCAGATTGTGCGCTGCTGGCACGTGTCGTGTAGAGTTATTTTGGGATTGCTGCGAGATGCAAACTGAGGCATTTGGGAGCTTTTCTTTCTTTCCACCCTTCAAATTTTCCTGACTTTTCTGTCCTATCTCATTTTCCCCTGGAATAACAAAGTGAAAGTGAAACATTTTTTAAACTGATTCTGTTCAGGTCATTGCTATGATCTCTCCATATGTAGAAGATCTCAGTTGCAAGTTCCTTTTAGAGCTAGAAAGTTCACAGGGGTGGTTCTCTTGAAGCCTGCTCTTGTTCATGCTTTCTTAAATATAGATCTGTATAGGTCTTTGTGGAGAACCACTTAAATAATATTTCTATAAGCGTAACAACTACAATATTTTCCATGTAAATTAAAGAAGTGCATGCTAATCTTTATTGTTGCAGAAGGAACAAAATGCACAGTGTGTTTCTGCTGCTTTCTAGACCTTTTTATTCTAACCTGAATGCATAGTCCTGTGAAGGAATGTGTAATGAGATCACTTTAATGAGTTAAGCAGAAGAATAAGTAGATATAGTATTTTATAATTGCACTCTTCAAGCAGAAAGGAAAATGTATTTCTTACTGTAAGAAGAAAATGCTGTTCGTGGTTGACCAATATATGTGCATTGCTTTCATTTAGAGAAATACTTTAAAAATTTGTTGCTCTGCATACTTTCTAGATTAATCAAAAGTAAATATTTCAAGCTGAGATATTTTAGTTGGTACTGATATAATTTTGTCAATTGTCCAAAGACTGAAAAAAGGTAAAATGATATTTTTGTGTGCCACAAAGTATCATTTCTGTGAGCACACAGTTATGCACAATGGAAAATGAGAATACTGAGGGAAAAGTCTCAAATATGTGTGTATGCATTGATCTGAAAGTTTATTCTGGTATTCAAGAGATTAATTTTTTGCTTTTACTCCAAGTGTTTTTTTTCTATAGTTATTCTGGCTGAAGGGTTCGTTCTTCTTGAGTTGTGTGTGGTTTTTATTCTGCTTTTGCTGAGGGAAATATGAAAGATGTGAACAGTTGTGTTTAGGAGCAGAAAAATCAAATGAACTAAAGAAGTAAGATTGCTGTGACCTAATTAGCTCCGAGTCCTCCCCCTTAAAATGACACTGAATTGAACTAAAATATCTGTTGTGGCTTATAAGGATTCTTGCAGAGAAATAGTGTGTTGACAATTTCTGGAGGATTTTTACTAATATTCTGCTTAAATAGCTAATGTTATGATAGATTTTTAACATGGTTTTTTCCTACTTTGCATATAAATGAAACTAGTTTGCTGTTCAGAAATTAGTATTGTAATATAATGTATTTGGTCTACTAAATGAGACTTTATAACATACTTCCTTTCCTGTTTTGTAGCAAAATTGTTTGATTTCCTCCTCTCTTGTTCCCATTCATTTCCTAAATTATGTGTTTCTTACCTCTATGTAATACCTCAGTACTTAATTGCAGGTGATATTTTTACTTTTTGCGTGAAAAGGAGTGATTTTGCATTGATTTCTATTGTATGTCTGTGAGCACATATATAAATTTAGATCTAAATAGGCCAACGGTTACTCTTTCAGGAGGTCTGCACGCTGCTAGAAGAAGTTGTTGCTTCAAGGGTCAAACACTACTTGGAAGCGCGTAAACAACGTGGTCAAGTGAAATCAATGCACCACGCACCATCTGGTCCTTTGTTTCTTACCGGTAAAATAAATTATTTAACTTACTGTAAAATATAGTAAGATAAGGTATGGTGGAAACTGCTGTTCTTTATGGTTTTTTTCCATGAGAAATTTGCCATCGGGAAAGCCAGTAAGCTTGAAATAGCTGGTGTTTGGGTCTGAAATGACTTTAGTTATGTTATTGAAAAAATAAAGTGGCTTTTATTTTGTGGTGTTGAAAAATCAACATATAACTTGTACTGTTAGTATGGGAGCCCATAATTAGAATTAAAAAGATGAAATGATTTTGTTTAATATTATTTCACTAACTGTTCTGGTCATCATGGTGGATTTTACAGTTGATAGGCTTGTCTGTTGGTGTTATATCACACAAGCAGTTTATTTTTAAATAGTTCTTTAGGAAATAATGACTTTTTTTTTTTATTACCAGCCTGGAGCATGTTATAAACTTGTCACAGAAAAGACGGGCTGCAGTAGTAAAGTCCTGTGTTGGCTATGGTTTCTCACATTTCCTTAAATATGTTGTAATAGATCTCTACTGAAATATGAATTCTACAATGAATATAATTGCGTACTTACAATATGCAATCAGTATACTGATACCAATTTTTGAGTTCAATGTATATTATATTAACAATTTTAATTCTGAAAAAGTTCTTGCCCCTCAAAATGTTTTCAGTTATTGAAAAGGTATATTTCTATGGAATTATAGTTGAAGGTTGCAGTTCTATACACTAATATCAATGTTAATGAGTTTTTTAATCAAGAAAACACAGGTTAAATACTGTATCGTTGGCTTAATATTGCAAAATTTTAGGCATATATGGGAGCCAGATTGTTATGGCATGACGGGAGGGATTTTTTCCACCCACAGGAACACAATACCACATAAGTAAAAAGTGCTTCAGGACACGAAAGGATTTTGAAACCCTCTTTTTCCTTGCAAGTTGTAACTACATTTTATCCTTTTAAAATATATTAATGTTTGTAAAACATATGAACTTTCAGATGCCCGTACTTTTCTGGGTTTGAGTGAACAAATAGAATTCTCTTATACTGGAAGCAGAGGGATGTTACAGAGGGTGGGATCAGAATTTCTGAGATTTGTTGAGGTTCTTCTGTGTTTTCTTTTACTGAGTTATTTTTTTTGTAAGTTATTTTTTAAGCTTTCCTGCCTCACTAAAAAGTAGGTTTTCAAAAACAATGATTTTGTAAGATAAAACTGCCAGACATAGCAATTGTTTTTTATATATGCAGACAGATGCACACTAATTTGAGGTTGTTCATGAGATTTTAGGGTCTTATATTTTCTTTGATTTATTAAAAATACTGGTATGCTGTCCTAGGGTTGTGAACTGATCTGCTTGACTCTTCCCCTTATTTCCTAAAAATGAAGAACTTAAGGATATGTATTTGAGGAGGTCATCAGTAAGATCTGTGACAGTTTGAGATTAAAGAATATTTATTTTGGATGAGGCAGAATTACTGTTCTATCAGTTTTCTGCAGTTAATCTCACTGTCATTAACTAACACTAAAGAAATAAAGGAAGAAAACAGTCTGTGATAACAAACATTCATGTTGAACTTAATTTCCAAATCTCTTTCCTCTTCTCTCAGCCTGCTTTGCTCAGGGCTGTTATTTGTAAGAAAGGAGTGCTTTGTTCAAGTCCAAGAATCAAGTTTATTCAAGTTACATTCAAGTCTGTTCTTACCTGAGAAGGAAATAACAGAATAGGTGGGCGTTTGCCAGAGCAACTGGGACCTACCTCTAAGGGACTGACCCTTTTAGGGTCTTTAGCAGTTATCCTCATTCAAATGTGGCTACAAAACCTTTTGTATTTTACCTTCCTCTCTAGGATCACAGCTTGTGTTTGTAGAGTACAAAGATATGTTTTTGTGTTTTTTCCCAAACAGATGAAGTGCGAGATAGCTGGCCAATGTTTGGCTGAGGGTGTTTTGTTGTATACAAAGAAATGCGCAAGCTTGGTATGTGGCTAACTACATACACATACTGTAGGTGCTGCTGGTGAAATGTTTAAGCTTGCTGCTATTGTTGCATTTGGAGGTTATTAAAAGTTTTGAGCTGTTCAAACTGTGGTTTCTTTTGCTCAAAGTTATGCAAGTCAGTGTCTAGAGTTTCACTGCTGTAAAACCCTCGCTGTTGCAAGGAAGGAACCCTATCTATAGAAGGAACATTAAGGCGCTTATTAGCTGGTTATTTACTACTCCAATTATCCCAGGTCAGCATTCCACCTCTATTTGAACTCGCATCTTTTCAGGTCATTAGTTTGCTCTCCACATTGCAGAATGTATTCAAAATTTATTAGAAGCAGAATTATTAGACCAGTTTCAGTAAGATTTTACACTACCTCTAACATGGAAGCATGTTGTATTTAGGGTTTTCTTCAGAAACAGAAGCCAAGCTACCTTACTTTGAGCTGATCTCGTTCTGCTGTGTAGATCCGTTGAGCAGAGAAGACTGTTGTTAAACTGGCTGCCATAAATATTTTGAAGAAAAAATTTTCACCTATCGCAATTTCTTTTTATTATTAATGTTATGTTTAATGTTAATATTATTTAATACCACCTTTCAGTTTTGTGGCACATAATATAAATACACATGCATGTTACTTGTTAATTTACATTATTTTTCATTTAAATTACACCCACACAGCTGTGTGTGGTGGGTCGCATACCATCTCATTAGGAAATCTGTGGGTGTTACACAGAGGAGAAGAAAGAAAGAAAGAATGGAAAAATGAGAGAAAGTAGCCAAGACAAGCAAGTTCTTCCTATTCTTCCTTCTGTCTGAACAATTTCCCCACCCCTCCCAAATGGCCAGTATGAACAATTTGCCAAAGTAAGCTTTAATTTAGTCTTTGGACATAGGCTTTGGTATAAACTCTCCATTTTCCATGTTTGTTTAATGTCCAAACATGTTTGATTTTGGATTGGTTTATTTTTTTAAGAAAAAATTAAAATGAGGTATATTTTCAAAGATTTAATTTCGCCTGCATCAAATTTTCTTGGCCAAAATCATGCAAGAAGGGCATTGGTCAGGTATGGTTCGCCTGCATTATTTTAAATCCAATGAATGTAATCCACCCAATAACAAAATCCATGTTTTGGTGAACTTCTCTCATTCGTTAAAAAGAGCCCACTACTTCACTTTACCTTTAAAGATTGTACATTCGTAGAACTTAGGGTTTTATATATATACTCCATATGTTTTCACTTTGTACCGCTTGTGCTACTCAATAACACATACTGTTTTTTCATGATGATGTCAAGCAGTTAGTGTGTCATAATATTCACCTACTGTAGACTTAAAGGGGCTAAAAGCAGAGCCTGATTTTTTGTGTTCCACAGAAGGTGGCTGGTTTTGATTAAAAGCAATAAGAATTAAGTAATGAGGTTATAAAGTGGACTGAGTGGAGCTATTTAATACAGGAGAATGACAAAGGGAGGACTATGGAAAATTAAGGAAGAAGGCAAAGTTTACGTCGGCAGAGGGGAATTGAAAAGGAGGATGCAGAAAGAAAACATGGCTGGTAGAAATGTCCGTGTTAGAAATGGAAGGAAGGAAGAAGGTATCTTGTAAACTGACCTTATTCCCCCTCTTGAGGCAGGGAAAAGTTAACTATCTTTATCATACAAGTAATTTTCAGATCTTTTCTCATTCCTTCTGTAGCATCCTTGTTGTTTTTCTTGGCTTGAGGGTGGAACATTTTTGCTCTGATTTCAGATCTTTTTATTGTACAGTCTCTTCTACAGTGAAAATAATTAGAGAGCATGCTGTCACATGGCACAAAGAGCTCCCAGCTTGGTTTTATCTGCTTTCTCTGGAATTGTGTGTATTTTTTTTATATTTTAACCTAGTTTTCTAAGGGCAATGGGGTTTATTGTGATCATATTTTTCCTCTGTGTGTCTGTTTGTCTATCCATCTTTTCCCCCATTTACTTTTTGAACGTGTGATTCAACTTTATGAACAGGTAGAAGTCTCAGACATTAACTTTGCAGACATTAACTTTTGATAAGCTCTTGAAATGAGAAACTGGAAGAGGTGCAATCACTATTGTGAATACTTCAGCCTTACAAAGATCTGGAGTCAAAGTTCACATCTTATTTAATATTAAAAAATGCATAAGATGCAATTTCATAAGAAAATAAATTTCTTCTGGTCTGTTGCTTATGCAATTACTGTTTGGCTCCTGTAAGCACACAGAAAATATAGAGTAAATCATGGTAGTAAATATTCCAAACTCTTCTGGCCTTGCATTTCAATTTGAACATTATGGTATTTTTAAGGAAAACACCCTTTTCAGACAGCCCTCGTTTACTTTAGGAGTGTCCACTATTACTGGAAAACGTGAAATGTGTAAGATGTGCATAGGATATGTTCCACATTACAATCCTGTAGCAGCAAAACTGATTTATTACCATCCTCCCAGCTGTTAACTCTTAATTCTCTGCTCTGAAGCAGTGTTTTGTTTGGTTTTAATAAAATCATTTCACCTATCTTGCTTAAAGAGCTACTCAACAAAAATTTGATGGGTGCAACTGGAGGGAAAGTAAGCTATAGCAGATAAGCTACCACAGGGGACTGAGGAGGACAGAAGTCTTTTAAATTAACTTTGATGTTTGCAGTTGCACATTGTAATTTCTGTCTCTCAAAAGAATTATACTGCAGCTTCTTTACAATGGACTCATTTATGATTTGTGGCCAAGTCCTGCAGATCTTTGTGAACTTTAAACTTAGATTCATCTGTCTGTGACAACAGAGCCTCATAGCTCCCTGAAGTATGCAGTAACTTATGCAATAACTTATGAAAAATATTTTGATTAGTATCTTGTACTTAATATTTCCTGTATTTACTTTAGATCACTTTTTTCCATTTTTTATAGCCAGCTAATAGGGAAGAAAGTAACCTCTTTTTTTCGATAAAACATTTTTCTTCTGGAAAATCAAGGATATATATCTGAATTTTATTTTGTTCTTTTCTCAGGGTAGGGGATATTTA